CCCTCGGCAGGAAATCAAAGCCCCGCTCACTCCGTAGAGGCCAACCAGCTGCTGACCAAAAGCCAAACAAAAAAACCCAACAAAAAAACCCAGAGCAAATGCTTTATTTGCTCAAACTGCTGCTTTCTCAGCCGAGGGGGAGTGGGAGGCTTCCAGCTGGAGGCTTCCCACCAGCCAGGGATCCACGGCTTCGCTGGGGAGCTGCCTTTCCAGGTCTTTTTGTCTTAACTAGGGATCAAAGGGAAAACTTCCCGAATTATTTCAGTATCATCCGACAGGTTTCTTACAGATTTGAGTCTCTTTAAAATAGGGGGTTGGTCTTTCCGAGGCGCTTTGGACTCGAGGAAAATATTTCGGTGCTCCTGTGTCAAGCTAAAAAAAGAACCATCCCCCCTTCCCAAAGTGCAGCCTCTTACAGGGATCAGATAAAATGCCCATCAAACCCACGTAAGCTCCTCCCCGAGCAGATTTTTGGGGGTGAATTTGCCACGTTGGGGTTTTTTTTTAATTTTTCTGAAATGGGTGTTTCAGAAAAAACCCTCCCCAGCCCGTGGGCACGGCTCCACCGGGTGAATTTTCTCCTCCCCACATGGAAGGGGTCTGGGTTTGGATCCCTGGGGGGCATCATGGACCCACGGCCTCCGTAACACCCTGGGGAAATAAATCCCCCTCTGCCTCCTGAAGTGATGAAAACCAGACAGGGGGAGCTTAAGGGAAACCAAAGAGAGCAATTTCTGGGAGCTGGGGGCGGTGGGACTGAAGCCTGAAATATGTGGAGCAGCTGGAGGGATGCAGGGATTTCAAAGGGAAGGCTGGGATGCCAATCCAAACGGGAGCAGGCGTGAGGCCGCGCTGCCCAGACCACATCCCACTGGGGCTTTCTTTTCTTTCTCTCCTTCTCTCCTTCTCTCCTTCTCTCCTTCTCTCCTTCTCTCCTTCTCTCCTTCTCTCCTTCTCTCCTTCTCTCCTTCTCTCCTTCTCTCCTTCTCTCCTTCTCTCCTTCTTCTCTCCTTCTCTCCTTCTCTCCTCCTTCTCTCCTCCTTCTCTCCTTCTCTCCTTCTTCTCTCCTTCTTCTCTCCTTCTTCTCTCCTTCTTCTCTCCTTCTTCTCTCCTTCTTCTCTCCTTCTTCTCTCCTTCTTCTCTCCTTCTTCTCTCCTTCTTCTCTCCTTCTTCTCTCCTTCTTCTCTCCTTCTTCTCTCCTTCTTCTCTCCTTCTTCTCTCCTTCTTCTCTCCTTCTTCTCTCCTTCTTCTCTCCTTCTTCTCTCCTTCTTCTCTCCTTCTTCTCTCCTTCTTCTCTCCTTCTTCTCTCCTTCTTCTCTCCTTCTTCTCTCCTTCTCTCCTTCTTCTCTCCTTCTCTCCTTCTCTCTTCTCCTTCTCTCTTCTCCTTCTTTCCCTTTCCCTTTCCTTTTTTTATTATCCAGCTGATATTTATAGATCTTTTATCTCTTTAGTGCCTCGGTGCCACAAATAAAAGCAGACGGGGCTTTTATGCTACTGAAAGGAAAGAAATGAAAAAAAAACAAAAACCAAAACAAACCCGCACTGGTTTCCAGAAAGGTTTTGAGCCCCACGAGTGCTGTCACTCATCAGTCTGAATTTAATTAGGCTGATGAAACCACTCCTGCCGGCCCAGTCAGTGCTGCCTCCGAGGGGCTTGGGCTCTTCCCCATCCTTCCCTGCGTTGGAGATGAGGGTTAATACCCCCGGGGAGTGAGGGTTTCTTGGCTACTTGTATCCACACGTGGTTTTATCCCTGGGCTGGATCCCGGTGACACCTGGGCTGGCTTTTCCTGCGTCCTTGGTCAACGCTGGGTACATCCCTGGTGGCCCAGGGAGCCCTCGGGGTTGCCCAGGGCTCCTCTCCACCAGCTCAGGCAGCCCCCGGGGCAGGTCAGGGTGAAAGACAGGCTCCTGATGCTCCACCAAGCGAGGGGTTTGGAAGGGCTGGATGAGGCAGGGGATGGCACCCCCGGGGTGGGAGCACCAGGAATTGGGGAGATGCCTTTGCACCCAGCAGGTCCTGGGGAGCTGGCACTAGCCACCCCCGGAGCCCCTTCCCGGCTTGAAGGCTGGAAAGTCCCCAGAGGTGCTTCCTGTGGGGCCGAGAGGCTGAAATGACTCACCCAGCTTGGTTTTACTACGGATTAATTTGATTAATTGTTTCTTCATCCCTGCCTGCTGCGGGAAAGCCTCGCTGCCCCAGGGTGGCCGTCCCATGGGACACAGAGTCACCCCCCCAGCTCCCTGCATCCTTGGAAACTGCCCCCGTGCTCCCCCCTGTCCCCATCGCAGGCAACCACCCTCCTTGGGCTCCTTTCACCTTCTTGCCCCCCAAAACCCAACGGCTTCCCCAAACATCCCCTTTCCATCGATTCATGGCAGCGGGATGTGCCCCCATACCCCGGGCGTGCGGGTCTCACCCCCCTCACTGCAGGCCACAGCTCTTTTGGGGAGGTATTTCTTCTCTTTGCTTTGTTTTTAAAATCTCCACAGGTCTGCGGATCTCTTCCCCCGTACAGAATTCCACGGTTCTGGCTTCAAAACTGCTCCTGGACTTGCCCATCTGCTGGGCATTGAGTTACTGGAGGTTTAAGAAGCCGAACGAATCCCAACCAACACCCCCGGCCGGTTCCTCGCTCCGACAGGGATGCGAATCCCCTGCCTGCATTCAGATAAGTAGGCTTTTTGGGTTTTTTTTCCACCCCAGCAGCCAGTTTGCAGCAATACCTTTTGGTGAAGTGATTAATTTGGTTTTTTTTTCCTTTCCCCCCACCTCAAACTCCCACGGGAGGGTCAGCAGAGGAGGAACATCCATCCCTCCATCCCTCCCTCCCTCCCAGCACCCCTGCTGCTTTTTGGGTGAGCCTGGTGTTTAAGCAGCCCCCTTGGCTCTCAGCCTCCCTCCCCATCATGTGCTTATCAAAATAATTAGAGATAATTTCCTCCCTCCCCCTCCTCCCCTCACCCCAGCCACCGGCTCGTGGCTGCCAGACGGCTACTGCTCTTCCTCCCCGAGGCTGAGTCACCCCGGGGGGGGGGGGGGGGGGACTGGGGCTGTGTTCAAGAACTCCTTTGGGTTTGGGTTTTTTTTTTGTTGTTTTTACGTTCTTTTACTTTTTCATTTACCCAGTGTCCAGTGACTCCAGGAGGAGCAGGAGGGCAAACACCTTCGGTCCTTCTCCTCGCTGCCTCTTGTCCCCAGGGGTGGCTCGTTGTCCCCTTCCCTCCCCAAACCATCCTGATGTGCTCCTCATGCTTCCTCCTCACACCCCTGTCCAGCCCCACCTCGTGGGGCAGTTCCCCAGCCTGGCTCTTGAGATTAACTTCATGCTCTGTTTTATCTGGTGTTTCTCCAGATTTTGGGTAAACCACAGATTTATTTTTTTTAAATCTCCCTGCCCCCAGCTCATTTTCAGATGCATCTTTCCATCCAAGAAGAAAGGAAAGATCCTAGGAAACGTGGTGGGCTCCTCTGGAGTTGGGGCAGCGCAGTTAAACCACGAAAAGAAAAAGAAAAAAAGAAAAAGAAAGAGCTGAATATTAAATAAAAGATTCGACTTTTATTTAAAATAAAATGCATTTGTACATAGTCTTGAAACCACAGACTACAGGAACGCAACACTGGTTATTCCCCGGAATCAGGCGGGGCAGGAGGTGGCTCCTCGTTAGCGTTAACGAAGGACCGGGGAGACCCCGGCCCCAGGTATGGGTTACGGAGGGTGTTGTGGCTCTGAAATCCCATTTAACTTAAGATAAACATTTACTGGACTGAAATTGAGGGGTTTTCTTTTTGTTTTGTTTCTTGGTTACTCCCCGTCCCCCTTCCAGGCATCCTACAGTTACTGCTGATATCTATGCAATATCCTAGCTGGCTTGTGAGACTAGTTAAAAAAAAACTGTACAATTTTATAAAATTTGTGGTTTTTTTTTTTACATTAGTTACACAAAACCTATACTTCATAGACCTTTTACTTCATATTGTAATGAAAAAGTTTGCATATCATAGGCAGAACAGTGACTATGCTGGTGAATACTAAAAGTGTCATAATACAATACGGTGTAAAAATAAAATAAAATTTAAAAAAAAAAACCAAAAACAAACAACCAAACAAACCAACAAACGAACAAACAAAACAAAAAAAAAGACAATATAAATGATTATCAAAAAGGCAAGTTAACGAATAAAACCAAGCTATAACAGACTAACAGAAAGATCAGCTGTCTCCAAAGTCATGTCAGGCACCTGCAGTGGCACCAAACCCCCCCCTCCCCAAATTCCTCCCCCCCCGGTGCTCGTAGTGTGAGAAAAGAGATGGAAATTCTACTTCGACTTCCAAAGAGGTCAAATGTACAGAATAAAAAACACCAAAAAAGGAAAAAAAAAAAAAAAAGACCAACAAACGAACAAACAAAACAAAAAAAAAGACAATATAAATGATTATCAAAAAGGCAAGTTAACGAATAAAACCAAGCTATAACAGACTAACAGAAAGATCAGCTGTCTCCAAAGTCATGTCAGGCACCTGCAGCGGCACCAAACCCCCCCCTCCCCAAATTCCTCCCCCCCCGCTGCTCGTAGTGTGAGAAAAGAGATGGAAATTCTACTTCGACTTCCAAAGAGGTCAAATGTACAGAATAAAAAACACCAAAAAAGGAAAAAAAAAAAAAAAAGGGAAAAAAAAACAAACAAAAAACCCACTCATGCATTAAAACATGATAAATAGACTTCATATAGGTTTCCGCCCCGGATGGCTTTAGGAGGAGATGGCTTCGAGTTCTCTTGGAAAATTGGCTGGTTTAAAAAGTCAGTCAAATCTTATTCCTGATCTGGAATCCATGGGATTCTGGATCCCAAGGGCCGGCGAGCGGCAGGATCACCCGACCCGGCCACGGGCTTGTTATAGCAAATTAACAGAAGTGCTCATTAGTGCACACAGATTAACTGGTCTGGTAATGCGAAAAAAAAAAAAAAAAAAAAAAAAATTTAAAAAAAAAAAAGATACATTTCAAGCTTACTTTATTAAGCAGCATATTTCAAAGGACAGCTTTTTAAAGTTAAATATTAATATGGCCATGGGGTTTCCTCTGGGTGGGCAGTAGGTGGGGCCTCACACCCAACCGCTGGTCAGTTTGTAGAACATCTCCTCGTCTAAGCTCTCGTTCTGGTCCTTGGCCCGCGTGGACAGGAAGATGTAGCCACCAATGAACTCGTGAACCACTTTGCAATCCACCTCCGTGCAGATGAAGGACACCCGCACGTCGTCCGCAAACTCCACCGTCACCTGGGGGGGGCAAACACAGCAGGGTTACATCTACAGGGGGTTCCACCCACACACCCCCTTCTCTTTTTGCCCCATTTCTCTTTTCTCTTAACCCACAGAAGCACAGAATCACACGGGGTTGGAAGGGACCTCTGGAGATCATCTAGTCCAACCCCTGCCAAAGCAGCTCCACCCAGAGGAGGTTGCACAGGAACGTGTCCAGGTGGGGTTTGAATGTCTCCAGAGAAGGAGACTCCACCACCTCTCTGGGCAGCCTCTGCCAGGGCTCTGCCACCCTCAAAGTGAAGAAGTTCCTCCTCATGTTTAGGTGGAACTTCTAACATTCAAGTTTGTGCCCATTTCCTCTTGTCCTGTCCCTGGGCACCACTGAAAAAAGACTGGCCCCATCCTCCTGACACCCACCCTTTAAGCATTTATAGGCGTTGTGTTGATCAGTCTTCTCCAGACTAAAAAGACCCAAGTCCCTCAGCCTTTCCTCGTAAGGGAGATGCTCCAGGCCCCTCATCATCTCTGTAGCCCTCTGCTGTCCCCTCTCCAGCAGTTCCCTGTCCTTCTGGAACTGGGGAGCCCAGAACTGGTCCCAGTGCTCCAGATGGGCCCTCCCCAGGGCAGAGCAGAGGGGCAGGATGACCTCCCTCCACCTGCTGGTCACACTCTTCCTGATGCCCCCCAGGATGCCATTGGCCTTCTTGGCCCCAAGGGCCCATTGCTGGCTCCTGGGCATCCTGTTGTCCACCAAGGCCGAGGTGGTTGGCCAAAGTGGGGAAACTCACCATTTTGATCTCCCAGTTGACGTTCCACTGCTTCATGTTGCTGAAGCGCCAGGTTTTGACGGCGTCGCCCGTGCTGGCGTCCATCCGGATGAGCCGGTTGTAGGCGATGCCGATCAGCTCCTCCTTCTTGCCCCCCTGGAACCTACAGACAGGGGGCAAGGGATGAATAAATGCACGATAAATTCATAAATTCAGCGTATAAAATCAATTTTGTAAGTCGATGCAATTAATGCTTTTAATTTCACGGCCGGTGCAGCATCCCCAGCGAAGGACGCGCCGCGTATTTAACGTGTTCCATGGATTTATTGATGAAATTCCCCCCCCTTTTCTTCAGAGCCACCGACCTTGCGATGAAATGCGTGATGCCGAACTCCGGCAGCGACTGCCAGGCTTGAATGAACCGCATCTTGGCCTCGATGAGACTCATCTGAGCCACGTTCTGGTGGGCTTCCAGGATGCGGGCGGTGATCTGCAGAGAGACGGGCGTTAGGCCAGGGTGGGGGGGCTCGTTAGGGACGAGCAGGTAACGACTCGGGAGGAATTTGGGATGCAAACAACGCCGAAAATGGGTAATTTCTACCCCGAGGATGTATTTCAGCCACCACCCGCTCAAAGGCTGAGGGACGTGGAGCTGCTTTGGCTCCGTATCTCCAGACGCGTAAGAGCAAATAGAGATGGGGGCTGTCTGGAGGCTCGTTTGGGTTTAAAAGTGCAGGGTGTGAGCAAAACACAGGGCAAATTTCTGGTGTAGAGTTTCCAGTTTTGCAGCAAAAATCACCAGGGACCATAAGAAAAACCAAAGAGGGCCCAAGTTCCTCCAGGGGTAGGGTGTGGGGGGGGTGGGTTTTGTTAGTCTATTCATTGCCGCTCTCCAAACTAAAGGGGGCTCTAGACTATTTTAGCTTTTATATCTTAAAATTGAGCTTAATTTTATCGTTGCTGTCACTTACCAAGTCTCTTACATAGCCTGGCTGTAGATGGCAAGGCGAAGAAAAAGAAAAAAAAAAAAAGAAAAGGAAGCAGAAAGAAAAAAAAAAGCGATCAGAAATAATGGCAACAAAGCAAAGAAAAAAGTGTAAATTAACTGCAAACCAAAGTTCAAGCAAAAAAAAAAATAATCCACATGCATAATTTCTCAGGCAGAAAAGCAGCCAAAGTAATGGGAAGGATGGAGAGGGGACAAGCAGGCAGATCTGCTGCTCGCACCAGCCCCGGGCACCGGCGTGGTCCTGGCTGGTGGGCACCCACCCTGGAGAGATGGTTTGGGTCCTGGGGATGGTTTTTGGTCCTGCTGGTGGATGAAGGGGAGGGAGAAGCTGCCGGCTCCGAGGAGAATTCGTGTCCTCACGCTCTTCTCCATGCCCCAGCACAAAACTCAAGCCCATTTACTCGCAGAGGAAGCTCAACAGGAGGCTCAAAAGCTCACTGTTAGCTCAATAGATCCTTTCTATTTCTCAGCCTGGAGAAGAGAAGGCTCCGGGGAGACCTTAGAGCCCCTTCCAGTCCCTCAAGGGGCTCCAGGAGAGATGGGGAGGGACTCTGGATCAGGGAGGGGAGCCACAGGATGAGGGGTAATGGCTTCAAACTGAAAAAGGGGAGATTTAAATGAGATATTAGGAAGAAATTGTTGCCTGTGAGGGTGGTGAGAGCCTGGCCCAGGTTGCCCAGAGAAGCTGTGGCTGCCCCATCCCTGGAGGGGTTCAAGGCCAGGTTGGAGGGGGCTTGGAGCAACCTGGTCTGGTGGGAGGTGTCCCTGCCCAGGGCAGGGGGTTGGAACGGGATGATCTTTAATGTCCTTTCCAACCCAAACCACTCTGTGATTCTATGAAATGCAGGGGATGCCACTTGGGGTAGGAACTGGCTGGAGGATAACATCAGCTGGGCTTCCCAGGGATGCATCTGCCCTTGCAAAGGTGGCTGGAGGCCGCTCCGACACCAAACCCCATCGAGGCACCCGAGAACTGTGAAAACGCTGATTTTGGGTTGGTTTTTTTGTTGTTTTTTCTTTAGCATTTCCAATTTGGCACTCCCCAAACCCAACCCACGGCTGCTGCGAGGGCACGTGGAGACAAGCTCCACCCGAGCGGCTCCAGGGCTGCTGTGGGACCAAAAGCATCTATAAATCCTCCAGCAAGGTCCACTGCCAATTCCCATTTCGGCGCCGTCTGTGGGCTGCACAACCTCCTCCTCCTCCTCCTCCTTCTCCCAGTGCCAGGGCGAGGAGAGACCCTCGTGGCCGAATTCCTCGCATTCCCTCGGCCTCCATCCCTCACAAACATCCTCCGCTGCCGCAAGCTCTGCCTCTGGCCATCAAGAAAAAGCCAAAATCTGCTCTTCAGCTGATGTCCACCCAGGCATCGTGGCTATTAGCCTGGCTTGGAGCAGGGTGAGGGCTTGTGCCTGTCCCTGTGTTTCAAGGGAGGTTATTTTCCTAACGAGGGCACCTGCAGGGTGAGCAAGTTCTGCGAGCTAATATTTTTCCAGGTGCCTCCATTTTACCCAGTTCAAGCCTAGAAGGTATTTTCTATATATGTTAAAACGGTATATTTATGCAGCCTCTCCTCCATCCAAGTGGATAGAAAGGCTTATTCAGGAGAATAATAAGGGCTATATAAAATATGACTCCACTGCCAGGAAACCGTCGTGCCGTGCCAATAAAAAGTTGTATTTTTCCTGCCTCTCTGACTCGCAGCCTTCTTCTGGGTTTGGAGAAACAGGACCCGGCCGCAGCCAGCCCGAAGCTCCAGCTGAAGGATGAAGTCACCCAAAAGGCCAATGCCTGACTTATTATTTTATTATTTTTTTGCTGCTGTCCTGACATATAACGCCTTTCAGAAAGTCAGGCATTTGATTTCCAGCGTGGAACAGTCCAGCCCTGTCAGGCAGGGACCAGAATGGAGCGTTTTGGGGAGGTGGGGGGTTCAAGCACAAAGTCATGGCGTGTGGAAGCGGTGGAAAAGCAAAGAGAGAAATATGCAAACCAAATTAAGAGCCAAGCATGTGGGTAAAGCACCACAAGCAACTGCCACTCCGCTGATCCTGAGGATTTCTGCAGGGATTCCGGGCACGGGAAGGGGTTTTAAATCCCAGCACCGGGCACTGATTTTTGTCTCTTTCCTTCTACGTCTGCACGGGGAGAGACGAGCTGAGCTTTGCTGCACCATCGCTCGGTATCAGCAGGGGCAAAAACCCCATTTCCCTCTTTTAAACCATCGCCTCTAGTTTTAAAATAAATGTAAATAAATTCCAAACGTATCTAAAATAAATGGTTCCCCGCTGCTGAGGCTGTGGACATGCACCGTGGTGTAATATATACAGCGTAATGAGGGTGGTGGGTGCCATCCCCGGGTGCTGGATGGAAACCACACATTTCAGTCGGCGTTTCATTTTAGTAATAACATTTTTGGCAGCCAAGAGTTAAGTGACAACATCCAAAAAAACCACACAAGTGTTCAACGCCGGGCACAGGTGCACACCAACGGTTCCACACCAACAAACACCGCGCCGGGAGAGGGGACCAGCACGTTACCTGCTTGTTCTTGTATTTCTTCAGGTAGCGAGGAGAAACCAGGCACTCGGGGTTAATGTCGGTGTTGATCTGTTCGGGGATCAGCTGCGGGTCTGGGTTCAAATGCTGCATTTTCAGGAAGGAGAGGATGTTCTGCACTTCCATGCCGTAGGAGCTGTCGGCCATCGTCTTGCCTTTGGAGGCCAGGCGGCAGGCGGCCATCCAGCTGGCGTACTGTGTCTCCTGCCCCCAAAACAGAGGGTCAGAGGGGTGGGGGTACCACCTTCCCCCCTCCCAAATAAAACTTCAGGGAGTTCAAGGCCAGGTTGGAGGGGGCTTGGAGCAACCTGGTCTGGTGGGAGGTGTCCCTGCCCAGGGCAGGGGGGTTGGCGCTCAATGACCTTTAAGGTCCCTTCCAACTCGAACCATTCCATGATTCTATTGTCCTCCCAGCCCCGGGAGACTCAAGCAGAGGCAGAGAGGGGCAAAAACCCAGCCAATGTGCAACGTACAACCACAGGACCAAGCCAAGGAAGAGCAGGAGCTGATTTTTCTACTTCAAATTCACACATGGGCTTCATTCATCATCATTTGATGATTAATGTGATTCACACATCAAGATCAGCCACAGGTGACTGCCTTTGAGGACAGGCTGAGAGTTGGGGGTGTTCTCTGGAGAAGAGAAGGGTCCAGGGAGACATGAGAGTTCCATCCAGTCCCTCAAGGGGCTCCAGGAGAGATGGGGAGGGACTCTGGATCAGGGAGGGCAGCCGTAGGACGAGGGGGAAAGGTTTGACACTGGAAAAAGGGGAGATGGAGATGAGAAGTGGGGAAGAACCTCTTTGCCCTGAGGGTGGTGAGAGCCTGGCCCAGGTTGCCCAGAGAAGCTGTGGCTGCCCCATCCCTGGAGGGGTTCAAGGCCAGGTTGGAGGGGGCTTGGAGCAACCTGGTCTGGTGGGAGGTGTCCCTGCCCAGGGCAGGGGGTTGGAACTGGATGGTCTTTAAGGTCCCTTCACACCCAAACCATTCCATGATTCATAGCACATCCAAGTGGGAGCTGATGGTGGGCAAAGGGCAAGGAGAGGGCCTGTCCAAGAGATAACTTACATTATAGCACATCCAAGTGTGAGCTGATGGTGGGCAAAGGGCAAAGAGAGGGCCTGTCCAAGAGATAACTTACATTATCACAGCGAAGCCAGATTTCATTCATTCCCTCCGCCACCGGAATCAGAAGTTTGATGTTAAATTTCTGACCAGAGATGTTCACATCAGGCGTAACTTCACATCCTGCAATGAGAGAGCCACTGTTTAACGGGGGTGTGAAGAACTGCACTTTAAAAAGGGGGACAAAAATACAGAAGAGGAAAAGAAAAAGCAAAATGCTCCAACTAAAGGGTGTCCAACAGCATCCCAGTGCTGCAAAGGCCATGTGCCACACCTGTGGTGGGATGAATGCTCTACACAGCAGGGACAAAAATCGTGCCAGATGTCTGTTTTTCCAAGTGACAGGAAAAAGCAGGGGAAAAAAGCAAGACCTGATCTGAAAGCAACGAAGGATTCATCTCCCAGATCCCGCCTGGCCTTGTGAATGGACCTGATGGCTGAAAAATGCCCTGTGTCCCCAAAATTTTCATGAGAGGGTAGGAAAAGGTGGCTGGACAGGTGCTGGCTCTCACCCTGAAGCCCCTATCCGTTATTTTGGCTGGGCTATAGCGAGCGGCGAGGCGTAGGCATCCCACTCTCCATGTCTGGAGAGAACCACAGGAGGTTCTCCAAACACCAGGGGGTGATGAACTGAGCCAGCCCACTCAGCCCGGGCGCCGCTTCAAACGCCGCCTCCGAGATTTTTTACAAGTGCCGTCACAGCAGATAGGACAAAAGCTCCCAAAAAGGTCCCGTGGGCCGGGCTTCGCTCTGCCTGCAAGGCCTGAGGTCACTTGGCATCTGCTCCTGCCTCCACTGAGGGGAAAAAAAAAAAAGAGAGCTCTCTGCAGTTTGGTAGCTGCCGGAGCAGGAATGTTTAACTTAAGAAAAGCTTTAAAAGCACCGGGGAGAGGAGGGAAAAAGTCTAAAGGCAGCCAATTATTGGAATAAAATGCAACGGTGCTGATGCTTCTTGGCACTGGTGAGGCCCCACCTCAAGTGCTGTGTCCAGTTTTGGGCCCCTCACGACCAGAAGGACATTGAGATGATGGAGCGGGTCCAGAGAAGGGCAACGGAGCTGGTGAGGGGTCTGGAGCACAAGTCTCCTGAGGAGCAGCTGAGGGAACTGGGGGTGTTGAGCCCAGAGAAAAGGAGGCTGAGGGGAGACCTTCTCGCTCTCTGCAACTCCCTGAAAGGAGGGTGTAGCCCAGGGGGGTCGGTCTCTGCTCCCAAGGAACAGGTGATGGGACAAGAGGAAATGGCCTCAAGTTGCGCCAGGGGAGGTTTAGGATGGAGATTAGGAAAAATTTCTTCACCAAAAGGGTTATCAAACACTGGAACAGGCTGCCCAGGGCAGTGGTGGAGTCTCCATCCCTGGAGGTATTTAAAAGCCGGGCAGACGTGGTGCTGAGGGACATGGGTCAGTGGTGGTTTTTGTCAGTGTTGGGTTGATGGTTGGACTCGATGATCTGAAAGGTCCCTTCCAACCTCAACAATTCTATGATTCTCTTACCTCTCAGGTTCATCTGGTGTGCAGGAGTCCCGTTGGATTCCTCTTTGCTTTTATAGCAGGAAATGGAGGTATCTTTGAAGGTGCACCAATAGGGCTTGTAGCCTTTCAACGTCAGCTTCTTGGGCCTGCAAGACAGGTTGAGGGACGTTACATGTGGTTTAAGCTGCTAAACCAAGCTGCTGCACTGGGAAACTCATTTCACCCTTGAAAACCTGGAGTCAGCAGCCTGGGAGATGCCCACCCCTGGAGAGTCCCTGCCGGGGAACACATTCCCCACTCACCATCCCTTCACTACAATGTTGGGCCAAGAAATCGAGCTACAATTACAATTTGGGACTCTTCAACTCCATGGAAGCCCCACTGATTTGGGGCAAGGTGGATGCAGCTGGAGAACTGTGTTACAAAAATAAGACACGTTCATGAACCGCTGCAAAATACAACTCTTCACCTGCCACGTTAAACTGGAACCTCTTTGATCAGAGTACCTCTGAAAGGAAGAGGTACTTCTAAAAGACTCCTCGGTCAAGCACATGCATGAGTAGCTTGTTTTCTTTTTAAATACTTTTTCTTTTCCATGGAAAACACAGGTTTTGCTTGACTCCGCAGAAGAATCACAGAATCATAAAATGGTTTGGGATGGAAAGGACCTTAAAGATCATCTCCTTCCACACCCCTGCCCTGGGCAGGGACACCTCCCATCAGACTAGGTTGCTCAAAACCCCCTCCAACCTGGCCTTGAACCCCTCCAGGGATGGGGCAGCCACAGCCTCTCTGATGAAGAACTGATGCTGCAAGCCCACAGCAAAGCTAGGTGACCACCAGGCTCACCCCACCATGAGCCCAGGACCTTCGTGGAGCTGCAAGTTTCTGAACTCCTTAACCACCTCCCTAATTTCCAAACCTTATCCAAAGGCTGCACCTACAGCCTCTCACTGCAATGCATTTCTCACTTCTCCATCCCAGAAATAGTTGCTCAACCCTCTATCTGTAGGGATGAAATATGGTATGGCCCCCATTGCTCGTCCTCCAGGCTCTGAATTTTCATTTCCAAGCAAAAGTACGCTGGGGGCTGCTCCAGGAAATTTGGGAGGTGGGGGAGAAACATGGTGTCTGCCTGAACTTCATTGCTCCAACACCTCTGGTGGGCACCTGAGCTTGGGGCTTCTGCCACCTCCTCCTGCCTTGGCTGGTTTTCCTCCTCCTAAAGCCCTGGCACACACAGCCCTGCCCTGTGAAAACTTTACAACCACAAGTTCCTTTGAAAGCCACCTCTCACTGCAGGAGAAGTCACCAACCTCCAGCCAAGGCCTCCCACTACAAGAAGAACTCACCAACCTCTGGCCAAGCCATCCTACACGTGCAGGTTTTTCCATCCTCTGCTTTGCATCTTTCTCTAAAGATGTTTTAATGTGTTTTTACTGCCTTGAGCTTTTTTGGGGGGGACTCCTTTAAACTGCAGGCAGGGGATTTTGGCTGGCACGGGCAGAAACCCCCCTGGTAGGGGCAAGAGGAATGTCCAACGTATCTGCAGCAACACTGGGCAACTATAGGGACACATATATAACTTCTATATCATACTAGGGATATATAACGCAGCTCCTCCCCAATGAAGTGTGCAACAAGAGGCACACTCAAAGCTGGGCCAGCTCCTCATGTCATTTCGTCGGGTTTCTGGCAATAAAATACATCCCAGCCCTCATTTTTAGGAAAAAAATGACAATTCTGTGCTTCCCCACCGTGGCAGGACAGCCTCAAATCCCAACCCCGGCGTCTGGGGTGAGGGGAGGGAACCAGCAGCTTCTCACTGCTCCATCTCCTGCCCCACCGACTGGTCCATCCAATTTGCAAGCAATTAGCTCCCCGAGCCGTGCCTAATTTTATTGGGGAATAAGGACATCAAAGGACAGAGCAAATTTTTTTGTTTGTTTGTTTGTTTGTTCAAGGGGTGAAAAAAACACAGGGCACAGGCTGCAGCCCCGAAACTTCGCCCCAATTAAGACAGACCCAGAAGAACACAGAGACCTTATTAATTTGCCTTCAGAGAGGGAGAAGAGAGTTTTTCAGAACAGAAGCGGCAGGTTCTGGCTCCAGAACCAAACGATTAATAAAATAAAAGCTTGTTCCAGAGCTGTATTTCGCTGCCTACAGCTTTTCTTCTGCATCCTATAGCTACGCTGTGAAATCTCATCATTATTTCCAGAACTTTCACCGTAACCCCCGGCCGCAGCAGGCAATAAATTGCAAAAGACAGTCGTGGCTGCCAAAATGTTACTTAAAAGTCCAGACGCTGCCGTTCCCGGTTTCCACACAACCCCTGTCCAAGTCAAAGCAAAATAAAATAAAATAAGGAAAAAAAAAAAACACCTCTAAATCCTGAGTGAGCTGGAAGAGGAGCAGAGTCAGCTTAACCTGCTCCTCTTGGCAAGGAGAGGGCAGACAGAGCAGCATCCCGGCTGCTTATAATTCATCCGGCCTCTTGTGAACTGGGAGAAGTATTTGAGCAAGGATTCCAGGTTTCACTCCTAATTTTAGGATGGCTTGATCACCTCCTGGGCATTAATTGCGTTAGAGAAATATCCCAGCACATCCTGCTGGCTACGGGACGCAGTGAGCTCTCCCAGAGGGATGTGTTACCTGTCAGGGTGGTGATAGTGGGAAAATACCCTGGATTTTTATATTTAAGATCAACTTCAGCGTGGAGTGGGTTCTTTTGGAATAGCGTGAGATGCTTAGGGACTGTATCATATGTGGGATACAGAAGTAAATTGATTTAATAGCAGGAGAGAGCAGATGCTCTGAGCTGCGGTATTACACAGCGATTGCTCGGTGGCTTTTTACATGAGATAACACAGTGCTGTGATCTTAAACCAGGAGATTTAAAAAAAAAAAACCAAGGATATTTAGGCAGTAGGACCATTAATTATTCATAGACATTACCAGTTTCACCTAAGCACCTCTTCCCATCAGCACTTACTTGAAGACTTTAATGTAGTCGGCGAGCTCCGGGATGGAAGTGATGTCACCCTGCAAAGAAAAGAAAAGAAGGCTCCTGAGAAAGCCCCATCTGCTTCACGGGAGAAGCGAACGGAGAAAAATCTATTGCACAGAAGCGCTGTTTGGAAAGCAGAGGACAAGGTTTTATTTTTCTTTGAGGAATTCCTGCTGCCACCGGAGCCAATTCCCACCCGCGGGGTCACCGGGGGTCACACCGGCTCCTGCTCAAACAGGGATTTGTCTCCTCCCTTAGTCTGAGCTTCTGCTCCAAACAAAAGGGAAAGATGCTGCTCTGCAGCTCCAGGGAAAGGCTTTCTCCAAAGAAAGGCTTTCTTCCCTCCCCAGTTTTGTTTTTTTTTTTTAATATTGAGTTTATCTTCTCGTTTCAGCTGAGCAATAATATCTACCGGGTGGCACTTTCAATTCCCACGAGCTGGGACTAAAGGGTTTTTGGAAGGGCAGAAAAAGCTGCTCCAGCAGCTTCCAGTAGTGAAACAGTTTACTTTCTGTCTGCGATGAGCAAATGCTGTTTATAGATACCACGGGGGAAAAAAATGCAGAATCTAAACAAACAATCCAGTAATTGCCCATTATCCCTATTCAATTACTCGAATGCATCTGGAAATGGCTACTGCCTAACAACCCCTAAGGAAAGGGATGGGTTGGTGGTTTGTTTTTTTTTTTGATGAATCATGTCCTCTTCACTCCTATCCGGCAAGGACTGCTCCTTAATACTGGGCTTCAAATCTGGTTTTGCAAAGAAATTATAAAAGATCACTTGGAGATTAAAATCTGTCATTATTTCCGCGGCACCGACGCAGCGCTGCTCTCCCTGCAGCCACGGGTCAATATTATAAATCCCCACTGTAATTAGCACTGGTAAATCAGGGCTAAGTAGGGATGATAACTTCAAACAGAGCCTTGGTAAACTCTTAAAAAAACCTATATGAAGCGCAAGGCTGGAAAATTTCAGGGGTTTTAGGGTTTGAAAAGAACTTAAAACGAAACTCGGAGATGGTATAAATGTGCAAAGCGCCTGGAAAAGCTGGGCTTGGCCAAGTCTCACCAAACCTACTCCCTTTCTCTGCAGTTTAGTTTTGGGGCTTTACATTTTTAGAGGTGGAAAACCAGTGTTAAAACAGCGTATCGGTAAAAAAAAAAAAATACGAAACCCTCTGAGATCCAGTCACAGCCCACTCCAGGCTGAAATCCAGTCTAATAAAAATAAGGTTTCCTAAGTGTAAGTTATTTCTGAAAATCGCAGCAGCTGTTTTAAGTACTGTCCAACTTTGCCATGAATTAGAAACACTGGGAGAGAAACCTCAGTGTGAAGAATTTAGTATTTTGGAAAGTCAGTAGCAAGAACAGAAACCAAAATAACGTAAATTTAGTTTTCCATTATTTCACCAGGAAGGTGGTTTGGTACAGGAGGGGCTTTCAGTAAAACCCCCGCTCCCCTGGGATTTCTCCAGCACTATTTGGTCTTATGGTCCCAGCAGGAAAAAAAGGGAATATTGCACTTGACTTGAGCTGGGAATGTGGGATGGGCTGAGCTCTCCCTGCTAAATTAACTGTAAAATAAAAATAGAATTAAAAAAAAAAAAATAGAAGGTGGTCTTACAGCTTAAATGAAGCCTTTGGTTCAAAACCTGCATGTGCTCAAAGAGGTTTTTATGCCACTTTGGGCTCAGAGAAGAGCTCGGTGTTGGCCCGTGTTGGACTCTGCCCAGGGTCCCCTCCCACCAGAACTACCCCTCAGTATTTTACAAAATATTATTTTTAAGAAAATATGATTGGGGTCTACATTGCTCCACTGGGCTGTGGGTAACCTTCTCATGTTGTAAAAGCAGAAGTAGAAAAAAAAGGGAGAGGAAGGAAATAAAAAAGGTGGGATGCCTGGAAAAATTCCCATCTCGGGGTGATGACCTCGTGCTAGGTGAGATGAGGAGAGGACACCCAAGCCACCTTGTCACCGCGTGCCCGCGACCCTTACCAGGATCATCGACGTTTTGCCACCCTCCAAAGTAATTTCCAGATCCGAGAGCGCGGCGTCCACCTCATCCACCTCCTTGTCACTGTTGTTGAGGTGGTTTTCCGAGGACATGATGGACAGCTTATTGATGTGGTACTGAAAGGCAAGGCACAGCATTTCAACTGGGATGCTCCTGCCAGATGCCATGGGCTTGTCACGACGCAGTCACCACACTTGGGAAGTGGAGTGGAAAACTGGAGCTCTATGGGAGCAGAGCCCAGTAAGCACTGAGACCTGAGTGCAGTTGAGTCAGGAATGATCAGCTTGGTTCTTCTCAACCCAAGGAGTCAGTGGTACAAACCCTGACCTTTTCACAGCACCAGAGAGTGACTGAGGATGGAAGGAACCTCTGAAGATCACCTGGTCCTACCCACTGTTCAAGCAGGCCCACCGACAGCCATTGCCCAAGGACCATGTCCAGGTGGATTTTGAGTATCTCCAAGGATAGAGACTCCACAACCTCTCTGGGCAACCTCTGCCACTGCTCAGTCACCCTTAAAGTAAAAAAATGTTCCCTGATGTTCAGAGGGAACCTCCTGTGTTTCAATCTGTGCCTCTGGTCCTGTCACTGGGCACCACTGAGAAGGTCCATCTCCTTTACACCCTCCCATCCGGTATTTACATATATTAGTAAGATCTCCCTGAGCCTCCTCTTCTCCAGGCTGAACATTTCCAGATCTCTCAGTCTTATCTCAAAGGGGACATGCTCCAGGATTTTCATCATCCTTGTGGTCCTTCACTGGACTCTCTCCAGTATGTCCATGTCCCTCTTGCACTCAGGAGCCCAGAACTGGACTCAGTACTCCAGGTGTGGCCTCACCAGTGCTGAGTAGAGGGGAAGATCACCTTCCTTGACCCTCTGGCAGTGCTTTACCCAATGCAGCCCAACACACCATTCACCACCTTTGTCCCATGGGGACGTTGCTGGCTCATGGTCAACCTGGTGTCCAACAACACCCCAAGGACCTTTTCTGCCCAGCTGCTTCACAAGGGGTTATTCCTCCCTGGGGATAGGACTCTCCACTTCCCATTGTTGAACTTCATGAGGTTGGCCCATTTCTCCAGCCTGTTGAGGTCCCTCTGGCCTATCAGCCACACCTCTGTTTTTATCCCAGAAAACTAAAACATCCATAAAATCTCACAAGTTGGACCAAGCCCAACCCACTCTGGACTTCTTGGAGAGATAAACTGAGTCTATATTTCTGTTTTCCCTCTTTTTTTTTCCTAGGAGGGGGCCATAGGAGCAGAGAGCCCTGCTCTTCATGGGGATATTTCTGCATCTTACGGCGACGCTACGAGGAGCGCCAGACCACACGTAGTAAATGGCCTGCCCTCCATCTTGCAGAAGTCAATAGCAGGTGTAGCATTTATGCCAAATCACACCAAGTATTTCATAAAACAGATAAATAAATAGTTCTGGGAAAGCCGCAGATTATCACCAGCTGTTTTGGGGGGCAGCGGGCCAGAAAGGCACAGTTCAGTAACCTACTGTACTCGCTGGGTTTTTTTTAAGAAGGGCAAAACTAAAAGTTAAGATAGACATAAACATGTTTGGTAAAAGAAGGCCAAGTTCCTTTTTACGAGCAGTAATCAGCAGCAAGTATTTAAATTACCTAATAAGCTCAAGAGAGGATTAGGAGATGGGAAACGATCCGGCTTCTACCAGCACGAGAAGTCCAAGCTCCCACCGAAGATGAAATGAGGTTTAAAACACCAGTTACAGCCATTTTTCCCTTGCTGTGTTAATCCACATTCATCAATAGACAAATCTGCAAAGCTACAAACCTGAATTTAACCCAAACCAGGAGTGTCTTGGGCTGTTTCCTACCTGCAGCGCCGCAAACATCATCATTTCTTCCTCCGTGCACTCGATCTCCTCCAGCAGAATGGCCCACTTGGACTGCTCGTAGAGCTGGTTGATCCTGATCGCGTCGTACTACAGCACAGCACACAAAAAAACCCCCCACACAACACATTAAGGTTGTAAAACGTACGAGCCCGGCTCAAGACAAACGGCTTTTATCTTTTATTTCAACGCAATGAGATTGAAAAGCCTCTGCCACCGAAGAAGAGTGGCTTTAAGGAACCCTTGGAGAGTCTCTAGCAACACCTAAACGTTAGCAAACAGGTATGTGGGAGCACTCAAAGCCAGGTTTGATGCCTGCAAGACCCATTTTCAACACAAAAACCCATCAGAGATAGAGCATTCTTTGCTCAAGGCCTTTGCCTGCAAGACACAAGTGAAATAAATAGCTCTGTACCTTTGGATTCAGGTCAAAAAAGCTGTAGTACTTGAACCGGAGCAGCAAAGCCTCGTTTTCTTTCACTTCCTGCTCCATGAGAGATCGGGAGGAATCCAGCCATCTGTAAATTGTCAACAGGGGATAACACACACAGAAAGCTCCAGCGACGTCGCTTGCAAGAATGCAACTTAAAAACCACGTATCGGGGAAAAAAAAGAAAAGAAAAGAGTAGGGGAAAAAAAAAAAAAAAAAAAAGGAAAAAAGAAAAGAAAAGAGTAGGGGGAAAAAAAAAAAAAACGGAAGAAAAAAAGCAGAAAAACAAATCCTTAACTCACCCTTGGTTGATTTTGGCTTTATCCAGCAGCGCCTGTGGCTTGTACATTTTTGCTAAGGACTCTGGGGAGGTGACGGGCTGGCTGACAGCCAGGATGCCCGGGTTGCCCTCCGACAGGGCGCTGTCACCGAACCAGGCTGAGGTGGGTGACAAGGGGCTGCCGTCGTGAGCGTCGTAGGTCGGCGTCATCGTTTTGCTATAAAGTCCTGGGCTCGAGTATATATTTCCTACCAGTAAGAGGAATAAAAGCTTGGAGTCAGCTCACGGCCAAGCCCTGCCTGCTCCCAAACCAAGCCAACTCAGGCACAAACCCGAAGCCAGCGGATGAAAAACCTTCCCTTTTTTTTTCTTTTTTTTTTTTTTACCATTTTTTTTCCTTTCCGCGATGGGAAAACACGGCGCCGCTTGTTTTCCCATGAAAAGCTGCCCCTCTCTCTCCGCTCTTCTCCGAGAGCAAAAACTGATGGAAAACTCATTTCCAGCCCAAATCCATGGGAAAAAGGAGCAGGTCTCCCACGCCAGGAAAACTCCTTGCCCCGCTGCGTTTCTGCAGCACCTGGGATACCAAGGGCCCCCAGACTTACCGGCATTACCTGTCGCTTAAAGATTTTGGAAGTCAAAAGTTTTTAGAGGAGCAGGAAAATAAACTAAGGGCGCAGCCAAAGAGACCAGAGGCAGAGGGTAAAAGTCCTACTGAGGTGGAGCTCACCTTTGACGGGGCCGATGTAAAGAATATCGGTGCCTATAGAGAGGGAAAGAAAGGAGGGAAGTGAGAAGGCGAGAGAAAGTCACCGGGAGAGTAGGAAAGGACAGAAGCCAAAAATGGGCATTTTCGGAAGAAGGTGGAACAGCACAGGTGAGGTTTCACCACCCAAACGGGAGCATTTGTGGCAGCGCCGGTGGGCTCGGCAGGCAAAGCGACCAAACGTGACTCCACGGTTATTTAATTCACAAAAAAAAAAAAAAAAAAGAGGCAAAAAATCCAGACTTTTGTTGGGGCCAACAAAAATGAGGGTTAACAGAATGTTTTGACCAAATGCAACACTAAAAAAAAAAAAAAAAAAAAAAAAAAACCAACCCAAAACCCAAAAAAGACGACATTTCACGGACGGAAAAGCTTGCTGAGACGGCCAAACAAATTTGGGATTAATATGCTGAGCAAGTGGTGCTGTTTGGTGCAAACCCCATCCCGAAGCACACATCACTCCCCTTGGAAAGCTTTACAGCTCGTACAGCCTCCAAGCAGCCAAAAAACCCCCCTCAAAACCTTTAAAATGACAAATTTGAAGAGAAGAAAGCGCATCCAGCTTGGCATCTCATACCCCAACATACCTCAGAGCTGAACGGTGCCTATTCATCTCAGGGGAATATTGATTTTTCAATTAAGAATATAAAATATGGATTTTTATAAGGGAGGTTCAACGACCGTATCCTAATGTCAGGAATTCCACTGCCTACCTACATCAGGCAATGAGCTCAGCATCCTCTGCTGGGCACAAATCCGCTCACCAGTACCGAGAAGGACCAATAACCAGCTTTTTGGCAAAGAACTGTGTCCTTTTTAAATCACAAGCCCATTCAGATGTGCAATTTGATGCAGCAACATTCTACCTCCAAGAGCACTATTAAGGGTGCTGAAGGTGGCACGTGGCAGGGTTGAAATGCCACAGGCAAGATCTTCTGTGCCACCTCTTCCTGCTTTCCTGAACTACCACCTCAGGCCACCCTCCAGCCCCTCACTCCAAACAATCCTTCCTTCCAAATGCCCAAGAAATGACAGAAAACTGAGCTAGACACCTGGGAAAGTCTAAGACCAAAACAACGGAAAAACCTTTCCAAACTCTCATTTTTTTTTTGCCACGGGTGTCTCAAGGAGCACTAAGAACAGTTTGAATCAGCAGCATCACCCTATGACAGCCAACATCTTGGTTAAGAAATTTAAATAATTCAGAAACATGGTTCTAAACTGACTGATAGGATGGAAAATATAAGTCGCCATCAAACAAGAAAACCACCCAAGCAGGGTGCTTTTAATGCTCCTGCTGGTTTTCCTGGCATCCCAGTCTGGATTAATGATCTGGGGGACCAGGAAGGACCATGGGTACCTGTCATCAAGACAGACCCAGCAAACCAGGCATGAGCAAAAAAGCAGCAGAAACGGTCAAGGGATGGAGATATTCACCTTCAACCTTCATACTTGGGGGTGACTTGCCAGGTATTTATCAGGTACTTATACCGTGGGAGTTGGACTTGATGACCCTTATGGATCCCTTCCACCTTGAGATATTCTATAAGTAACAGAAAAGTGCTCTCTCCATGGACCACTGTTACACTAGAGCAGAGCAACCCAACAAGAACTGGCAATAAACCACCATCACCATCCATAAACTGCAACCCAAAGGATGCTCTTGCCTCCTCCTCATCCGCCCTCCCAGCCTTCCAGCCTCAACTTTCACCTGGCTCAAGGAGCCAGGGCTGAGCATCAACTGGACCAACAAAATAAAAACCCACTTCTTGCCCCAAATCGGGCAGGTTGTCCCATGGACATCCCCCCACATCCCTCCGCTTGAGTGCTCCAGAGGAGCAAAGCTTCCCCTCGGATGTTCTCCTCATCACCTCCAAATGTCTGAAACACCTCAGGAGAAGCTTCTCTTAAAAAATTTGCCCGAGGCAGGAAAAAAGCAGCAGAAACGGTCAAGAGATGGAGATATTCACCTTCAACCTTCATACTTGGGGGTGACTTGCCAGGTATTTATCAGGTACTTATACCGTGGGAGTTGGACTTGATGACCCTTATGGATCCCTTCCACCTTGAGATATTCTATAAGTAACAGAAAAATGGGATTTGAACTTGATGACCCTTATGGATCCCTTCCAACTTGAGATATTCTATAAGTAACAGAAAAGTGCTGTCTCCATGGACCACTGTTACACTGGAGCAGAGCAACCCAACAAGAACTGGCAATAAACCACCATCACCATCCATAAACTGCAACCCAAAGGATGCTCTTGCCTCCTCCTCATCCGCCCTCCCAGCCTTCCAGCCTCAACTTTCACCTGGCTCAAGGAGCCAGGGCTGAGCATCAACTGGACCAACAAAATAAAAACCCACTTCTTGCCCCAAATCGGGCAGGTTGTCCCATGGACATCCCCCCACATCCCTCCGCTTGAGTGCTCCAGAGGAGCAAAGCTTCCCCTCGGATGTTCTCCTCATCACCTCCAAATGTCTGAAACACCTCAGGAGAAGCTTCTCTTAAAAAATTTGCCCGAGGCAGGCAATGTCATGGAAAGTTCCAGTCAAAATAACTATAAGGTTGGCCTCAAACTTATAAACAAGAGAATGCAAGTCTTGTAATGGAAAGTGTTGGGCAATGTGTGCTGTGGGTGTATCGACAGCCCTGCTGGCAGTGATTTAAATGGGTTTCCCTGCCAGGTACGGGGTGCTCAGTGACAAAACACACCCATTAAATCCAAACAAACCGAAATAAGCACAACCAGAAATACTCAGAAACCAGAAATTCATTTTTACAGGAGCCTTTCGGCATGCAAACTGATGTTGGAACAACGCTAGAAAGGCTTTATTCACATCAAAAAACATGACTTTTAACTAATGGGACCTAAACTTCACAGATAGCTGCGGCGATGAAACCTGCAGCAAGCCATCTCATTCACAAGGAAAGCAAAACCAGCTTCAAAGTGACTCGCTGAAAGACCAATAAATAATTCAAATTAAAAAATATCTTTTGCATACATTTCCCCCAAAGGGTGCCAAGTACTTCCTATTCATCTAACAGAGATGGTCTCTGTGAATGCTGACTTCTGGAAAGGCTAATTATGGACTTCCAAGATGAAAATGAAAATTGAATGGAGCCTTGCCCAATGCAGGGAAAACTCTCTGAGCCAGGACACTCCCACAAGTATTTTCAAGTAACTTAGAGGAGAAAAAGTGAGACTGAAGCAAAAGACGGATTGTTTTTCCATTGCTACAGACCCGTGCTGATGGTTTGCTGCAGAGCCTGTGATGCACTTCCCTTTGGCATGGCAGCTCCACAGCATCATCACCCTCGTGTGCTGTGTGGCCAAAACCTTTCTCCTCGCAAGCCTAGGGCCACCAGCACTTCAACCACACTGTGTGACCTTCACAGAATCATGGAATGGTTTGGGTTTGCAAGCCTAAGGCCACCAGCACTTTAACCACACTGCGTGACCTTCACAGAATCGTGGAATGGTTTGGGTTGGAAGGGACCTTAAAGATCATTGAGCTCCAACCCCCCTGCCCTGGGCAGGGACACCTCCCACCACACCAGGTTGCTCCAAGCCCCCTCCAACCTGGCCTTGAACCCCTCCAGGGATGGGGCAGCCACAGCTTCTCTGGGCAACCTGGGCCAGGCTCTCACCACCCTCACACCAAAGAATTTCTTCCTGAGATCTCATCTAAATTTCCCCTCTTACAATTTAAAACTGTTACCCCTCAGTCCCATTGCTCCACTCCCTCGTAAAGAGTCCCTCCCTTCACTTGGACTTCAGTTAATTTAAGCCAATTAATACCGGTTTACTGAATTCTAAGATTTATTTTTCTTTTTATCGTTAAAGCTTCCCTGCTTCCTGCTCATGGCTGGATATAAAACCAAGAGCTCTGGCAGCCAGACGCATCTCGCTCGCCCAGCAGCGTCTCTGCGGCTTTTTCCATGAGTCCGTTCGGGCTAAAGTGCTCCCACTTGACAGACTTTATGGATTCAGCTCCTGCCTTTCACCTTCAAACACCAAACTTCCAGCAGCTGCTGAGGGGAGCTGAAAAGCCCACACCCCTCTGCTTGCAAACACCTCCCTGCATCCATTTGCTGCCTGGGGCAGGAGATGTTACTCCACCGGAGATGTTACTCCATCAGCAACGTTACTCCCTGAGCAGTTCTCCAAGTAGGGTTCTGCTGAGCTTCTGTAAGCCAGACTGGCTAACTAACCCCTGTCCCGAAATAAAAAGTGGGTTTTTTTAAAGCATTAAAATCTATAGCTACGCCCTTAACATAAGGAAACACTAATGCAATTAAAAAATACTAGTTTTGCTGGGCTATAATGAACATGGAGGAGAACGGTGGTACTGCCTCAAAACACACCTGGAATTTGACATTAGGAACCATTTTTCACAGAATCACAGAATCTTCTAGGTTGGAAGGGACCTTAAAGATCATCTTGTCCAACCGTCAACCTAACTCTGACAAAAATAGACACCCACACAACAAACAAGGAGCATCACCATCACTAAACCATACCTCCCAGCACTACATCAACCCGTCTTTTGAACACCTCCAGGGATGGTGCCTCAACCACCTCCCTGGGCAGCCCATTCCAATGGCTGAGAACCCTTTCAGTGAAAAATGTTTTCCTAATATCCAGCCTGAACCTCCCCTGGCGCAACTTGAGGCCATTTCTTCTCGTCCTGTCGCCTGTGACTTGAGAAAAGAGACCGACCCCCACCTCTCTACACCCTCCTTTCAGGGAGTTGGAGAGAGCAATAAGGTCTCCCCTCAGCCTCCTCTTCTCCAGGCTGAACACCCCCAGCTCCCTCAGCCTCTCCTCATAAGACTTGTGCTCCAGACCTTTCACCATCTTTGTTGCCCTTCTCTGGACCCGATCCAGCCCCTCGATGTCTTTTTTATGGTAGGGGGCCCAAAACTGGACACAGTACTTGAGGTGGGGCCTCACCAGTGCCCAGTACAGGGGGATGATCACCTCTCGGGCCCTACTCCCCACGCTGTTCCTGATACAGGCCAGGATGCTGGTGGCCTTCTTGGCTCCTTTCTTAATAGGGTTAAGAAAACCTTCCAGTAACACAAGCTGGGTGTTAAATTGGTCGCACTTGGTTTCTCTTTTGTTTTATGAAGTCTGGTGTTGTCCTGCCTCCCCCCCTAACCCCGTGTGCGTGACAGCTTCAGGCATGCATCCGTGCCACCACCACCCAGTGCTGCAGCCCGGCGTGACCTGTGGAATTTATTTGGGGTCTGTTTCTCGCCCAGACCTTAAGGAATTAGGTCAGATGGATCCCACTATGTCGTTTCCCCCACCTCTAATTTTATGATCCGACCCCTTGCCTCCAAGCCCATCGGCACAAAGCGAGCCCAGCTCACCAGACCCTGGTGTGATCAGAGGACCCTCCAGCTCGAAGGCGTCGTCTTCACATTGATCATCCAACTTCTTCTTTTTTTTCTTCGACGGGTCTCGGGGTTTCCTCAAAAGGGAGAGCTCTTCTGGATGCCTGATGTCTGGGGAGAAAACAGACCATTTTTACTAAGGCAAGATGGAAAAAAAGGTGGGGGGGAAACCGAATATCCTTCCTTTAGGAACAACATCCAGCAACGCGCAGTTGCAGTGTCTCCTTTGGCTGATTTTCCTGCTTTGTGATGGTTAAAAAATCAAGTTGAGAGCATTTTCCCAGCAAGCCCTGTCTTTGGCTGGAGAGATAACACAGCATTTGGGTAAAACATAGAATTTCCCAGGCACAGGCACTCAAATGGAAACACAAGCTCTGCCAGACCCTGCCACAGAGCTTAGCACCATTCCCCCCGTTATCATAAATATAAATATAAATATAAATATAAATATATTTACATTAATCAGCACATAAACCCCTACTTAGGCACCCAGGTCACAGCCCAGGTACTCTCACTTCCATGGGAGCAATCCAAGATTCAAGACATTTATTTCCACACCAGGCTGGAAATTTTAGTGTATTAATCAGCACATAAAACCCTACTTAGGCACCCAGGTCACAGCCCAGGTACTCTCACTTCCACAAGAGCAATCCAAGACTCAAGACATTTATTTCCACACCAGACTGGAAAGTTTAGAGCCTGTATTTAAAGCACCCACTTTTTCAAGAGATCTTGGCCAAAGTGCTTCCTTTTCGCAGCAAATCTCTCCCACTTCCCTGCCCAGAACCAGCCAGAATAAGTTTAAAACCATGTTATTTAAAATAAGGAGCATCACAGTGTGTGTTTTTAAGGCATGGCAGTATGGGGAAGAGGGGGGGGCTGATGGAAATTTGGGATGCCCTAAGGAAAGCAGCCCCCGGTCTGGTCCACATGGACACCCGGAGCTGTAGCTGCCAGGGAGACTGGGAGATGGAGCTGGTTGCATCGTGGCCAGGCTGGTATTTTCCCACCAAGAGGAACGCTGAGCAAGACAATAAGTCATTATTCTAACGAGGAGAGGTTACAGGGTTCATATCTCACGCTGGGTATGCCCCCCCCTTCCCAGCACAGCCTCCGCGCTGGCAGCAGCAGAGATTGCTGTACGCTCCCAGCCACCAGAATATCATTAATACAATTAAAAACTGGAATTTTGGTCCCCAGTATGTGACTCAACGGGACAGATCTGCCCCAATTCCTGCTCCCCCCACCCAACGCCAGCATCCTTCCTTACCAATTAACCAGAAGTGCTTTTCCACATTTGTCAGGGGATGGCTGCTGTCACAACCAGCCTATTCCAAAAAATTGCTTTTTTATTAAAAAAAAAAAAAATAAATTAAAGCACAGTTCCCTGACAGTTCACATCCCTGGGCTTTTTCCTGTTTGCAGACACAGCTGAGCATGGGGCTGTCCCCTCCCGAGCACATTCCAAAAATTGCTTTTTTTTTTTTTTAAAAAAAAATAAAATTATTAAAGCACAGCTTCCCTGACAGTTCACATCCCTGGGCTTTTTTCCTGTTTGCAAACACAGTTGAGCATCGGGCTGTCCCCTCCCAAGCAGGACAGTGTGACAGCCCCCCTGCCATGCTATTTTAAATACCAACCTGCGCTTTTCTCCTTTTTTCTGCTATTTTAAATAACAGCCTGTGTACTCATCCCTCTCCAACCCCACCATGTCTGTGTCACGTGTGGGGGGATTTGATTTTAGGTGCCCTCCAGGGATGGATCCATCCAGCCTTGGCGTTCCCAAATGGGGAGGTTGGGCAGATTTCTTTGGGCAAATTTTTTAAGGTTGGGAACCTCTGGATTTAAGTATTTCTCACACCGTGGGTCTCCCATCCAAAACCATCATTGGCATAGTTTTAATTTAAGCTTTATTTTTACTTATGAATTTATGTATATATTTTTTTTGGTATATTATCTATTTTTCTATATAAGCTTTATTTCATTTAAGCTTTAATTTAACACTGATTTATTAATACTACGTACTTATCATCATGCTAAACTCTGTCCCTGAACCCACCAACCAACAGTTAAGTTTCACCACGCGACTTTTTTGACCATTTCTAGCAATAAATACCTACTGTATGAACCCAGGCAGGCTATTCCCATTCCCATTTATCCCAGCCAGCTTACCTCACGGCGGAAAAATCTGCTGGGACAACCAGGGTGACGCGCGAGGGACGACGCGGAGCACGGCCCTAAAATGAGGAGTTCCCCTGGTATTTTGTTAGCAAGGTTTATACTCTGGTGTTTATTTATGGTGCATTAGCAACTGATACAGCCTCTCAGCTGAAACCATTCAGAGAGGCCAAGAGAAGGGCTCCTGGCCAAGCTCGGGCTCCTGAAAGCGATCTGTTGGAGGCGGCCCAAAGCTTGACCATCTGATTTCAAAAGCAACTTTTTATAGTCCTTCAGTTGTTCGTGACACTACCGTCAGATTACAAAGGATATGGGCAAAGTTTTTGGCGGCAAAAATGGTGCAGGGCTGCAGGGCATGGCAAAGGCTGGAGCATCCCTGCGACGCCAGAGGAGCCCTGGGATGCTGGAGCATCCCCACTCCCCATCAGCTGAGCATGTTTCCCATTGATAAGCTGCAAATTCCTCCCAAACATCGTTCTGCTGGATACATTGGCTCCCCAGTTGCAGAAGGACAGGGAACTGCTGGAGAGGGGACAGCAGAGGGCTACAAAGATGATGAGGGGCCTGAAGCATCTCTTATGAGGAAAGGCTGAGGGACTTGCATCTTCTCTGTCCAGAGAAGAGAAAGCTGAGGGGGGATCTGATCAAGCCTTATAAATACTTAAAGGATGGGTGTCAGGAGGATGGGGCCAGTGATGCCCAGGGACAGGACAAGAGGAAATGGGCACAAACTTGACCATAAGAAGTTCCACCTAAACATGTGGACGAATTTCTTTCCTGTGAGGGTGGCAGAGCCCTGGAAGAGGCTGCCCAGGGAGGTGGTGGAGTCTCCTTCTCTGGAGACATTCAAACCCCACCTGGACACATTCCTGTGCAACCTGCTCTGGGTGGACCTGCTTTGGCAGGGACATTGGACTAGATGATCTCCAGAGGTCCCTTCCAACCACATAGCATTCCGGGATTCTGTGACACACCATCGTCTCTGAGACTACAAACCCACTGGACCCAACTGAGGGGTGTGGGGGAAATTCAAAATAGAGCTCAACGTGGTAAAAAGCAAAGAAGCAGCAAGACAGAGACGTTGGTTTCATTTCCCACCCCAGAATAAAGAGAAAAAGCCAGAAGCCACTTTGCATGCTTCAATCTTTCAGTAAAAGGCTGGTGGAAAAAATATTTGCCGCTGCTTATGATTAATAAGTGTACAAAGGGTCCTAAAGCGTGTTTCAAACAGAGGGTGGCTTGGCAAAGCTGGTGTTTAGTTACTGTAGATAAAGCAGAGCCTGTCCCAGGGTGTAAGGATTGCAGATGGTAGGGCTCCAGTTAACTGGAAACTGGGACAAGGAACTGCTCCAGAGCCCCAGCCCCTCTCTTCTGGCCATAAGAGCAAGAGAAAGCTTCTTAAAGTATCCAAATGGTGCAAAAAAATTACAGAATCCCGGAATGATATGTGGTTGGAAGGGACCTCTGGAGATCATCTAGTCCAACCCCCTGCTAGAGCAGGTCCACCCAGAGCAGGTTGCACAGGAACATGTCCAGGCAGGGTTTGAATGTCTCCAGAGAAGGAGACTCCACCACCTCCCTGGGCAGCCTCTGCCAGAGCTCTGCCACCCTCACAGGAAAGAAGTTCCTCCTCATGTTGAGGTGGAACTTCTTACATTCAAGTTTGTGCCCATTTCCTCTTGTCCTGTCCCTGGGCACCACTGAAAAAAGACCGGCCCCATCCTCCTGACACCCAGACTTTAAGTATTTACAGGCATTGATCAGATGTCCCCTCAGTCTTCTCCAGACTAAAAAGACCCAAGTCCCTCAGCCTTTCAAGCCCTTGATATAGGTCTGGGCTTTGTAAAAAGTCCCACTGCACCTGGAGGAGCCCATTTGCTGGAGCTGATCACCTGGGGTAAAACATCTCCCCAGGGTTTGACTTCAATTCCAAATTACCCCTCGAAACCCTCCGTTAACTATCTCATCCATGTTTTCCAGCTGAAGTCAAGCTGCTCCTGCCAAAGGTCACTTGGGAGGAAAAAGGGGTCAGTGAAATGTGGGTGGACCAGGAGGAGTCACCTTCTGGACAAGCCTGATGTGTTGACTCTCCAGTTGATGCACTGATGGGGGCTGTGTTTGCTTTAAGAGACTCCTTGTCTGTACACAGGAGACAGATGGCACTGGCAACGTCTACTAGAAATTACTGTAAATGATCCTTTTAGCATTTTATTTCCATTTATTGTGTAAGCGAGTGGAAACGCAGCTACCCAGCCTCTTGCTAAGCGTCCCTGGCGGCAGCCACCAGCAGAAACCATCTGCGACAACGCGTGGTGTGCTCCATATGGGAGGGAGAGCACCAACCAAAAACTGGTCTAAAACCACTTTTCAGCTGGATCCGACTGGGAACCCTTCGTATTTTGACATCTCCTACAGCCCACACTGGACCAGCTGGGCCCTAACATTGATGCAGCTCCGCATCCCAGCAGAAGGGCCTCATCCCACCCAGAGAAGCTGTGGCTGCTCCATCCCTGGAGGGGTTCAAGGCCAGGTTGAACAGGTCTTTGAGCAACCTGATCTAGCGGTAGGTGTCCCTGCCCAGGGCAGGGGGCTGGAACTCAATGATTTTTAAGGTCCCTTCCAACTCAAATCATTCAGTGATTTTATCAAGCAAAGGAACTCCCCTGTGGCAAGAGGAGCAAATGCATTTCATAGGCAGCATTTCAAAAATGTGACCAGGAAGGTGGCTTTCAACCTCCCAGAAAAGTTTTTCCAACTGTTGGATGATTTTGCTCCCTACAGCATCTCCTTTTTCCTCTCCCTGCAAAAGCCTCCTTGTACTTCTGCCGTGTCCTGCTGAAGACAAACCCTTGGCCTTTTTCCCCCTGTGTAACCCTTCATTTCTCCTCCAGCCCCTGCACAGCTTGCCCAGCCCCAGCTCTGCCCATTTATCC